GAGCTGCTCGCGCGTGCGGCTGTCGAGCTCCTTCTCGCGCCGCACGGCCTGAATCTCCGCCCGCGTCATCGCTGTGCGGGTGCCCGACTGCGTCGTTGCAGCAGCCCCATCCGCCATTTGCGGTGCCCAGCTCATTCGACCTAAACGCCCACCCCCCACTACACACACACGAACAGGGGACGGAGCAGCGGCAGCGGAGGGAGGCAGGTCGCACACATCAGCCACAGAGCCCCCCGCACAGCGTTGGGGGACCGAAGTACGGACGAGAACACAAGCGAACAAGCACCAAACCCGAAACAACAACAACAACAACAACAACACCAAGAAAAGCCCCCCCCAAAAAAAATACCAAAAGACACCCCCAGACACAAAAACAAAAAGAAAAACTGCTGCAGTTGTGCATGGCTAGCCAACAGCACATTTGACGCATCCCCTTCCTTCCGCCGTGGAGTGCACACCCACATATGCGTGTGCTTGCCACGCCCACCCGCGCAGGTACAGAGAGCGGGAAGTCCGCGCGGCGCAACGTTCTGAATTTCTGTACCGATCCGCACTGTCAGCCGCCCCGCGTACGGATGGCGCAGGTCCGCCCAACCGCCCACCACCACGCCGCCCCTTCCCGTCAAACACAGAGTGGCTGAGCCACGAACTGGACACACAGCACAAACGCAAGGACATCTGTGTGTGTGTGTGTGTGTGTGTGTGTGTGTGTGTGTGTGAGAGACACACAGCACACCTGCGTCATGCGCCACACGTGTGCCTGGCGCGAAATAAGAGCCGCAGTTATCCTCAGACCACACAGTTGACGTAAGCAGGCAGCAGAGCGCATAAGTTAAGTACTAAAATAATAAACAAATAGCAATATCATCATCTACCAAGCACACACCCACGACACAGCGTACACGTGCCAGTGCGTCCCAGGAGGGTGTAGGAGGAAGCGCGATTAAAAAGAAGCACCACCCCCACCCCCACCGCCACAGCAGCAGCAGCAACGAGGAGGGGGGATGACGTAGTTGCGGAGGATTGTAAGCAACAAAAAAAAATTGCTCATCAATAAAAAAAAACAAGTCACTGATGTGGTGTGTGTGTGTGTGTGTGTGTGCCACGTGCCTCCTCTGGCAAAGACAACGCCCTGTAGGGTGAGTACACAGGCTGCAGCTGCAGGTGTTGCCGCTGCCGCGCCATTCCTTCGCTGCCAACCCACGAAAAGGGACAGAGCACGCCACACCCACAAACAACAAGAAAAACAAAACCAGCGACAAAAAAGAAAACAAATCTGTTACGTTCCTTCGTTCATTGCGCCACACCCCCTTCATGCGATACAGTTCCTTCCGTCACACCTCCACTATTGCGCGCTCAACGAGTCCCCCCCATGCCCTAAATCACTTCCATACCCGCCACCGAAAACTATCAGCCCTTCGCGCCTCTTACGCCACCGTTTGCCCGCGTCCGCAGGTTCCAGAAGTGTCACCCCGTTCCTACCTCAGAAGCAGCAGAGGCGTGCCCCGCGTTGAGCGGCGACGAGTTTCCCGTGCTTGGTGACTCCATGACTGGTCTCAAGAGGAGCAAGGATGCTATTTCTTTCCTTCGTGATGCCGAGGGCCGTAGGGCTGCTGTTGTTGTTGCTTTGTCGTGCTGGTTGCCAGAAGACCGTGAGAAGAGGGAGGGGGAGGAGAGCGAGTGTGCGGCACCACCAAACTCGAGTGCCAGCACGGCGCCAGGATCTGCTCCGAGTTGACGTCGCGGACAGCGCACAGCTCAGCGAGTGAGGGAAGAAACACAAAAGAATTACAAAATTTGAGGGGCAGGGCCAACTGAAAAAACATGGTGGAAGACAGCAGAAAACGGACAAACACAAATCCCTCTTTTGCTTCACAGCCGTTCGTCCCTTCTCCGGGAGACCCTTCCGATGTTTGTGTCGTTTTGCCTACGCTTGGAAGAGCCACCTGCCGCCGTCACCGCCGAGGGCCTGCCACAACAGCAGACGCAGCAACGGGAGGACGGAGAAGCAGAAGAAGGTGTGCGGGCGCACTCGCAACACCATACTCTTCACACCGCGCGCTGTCGCCCTTGTGCCGTCTTTGGCCGCCGTGGCGTGACACAAAAGCCAACCGCGACCAGCACAAACAAAGGTGGTAGTGGTGGTGAGCGGATGGAGAGGGGGGGATGGGAAGTCGAGGGAAGGGAGGCACACTGACGCGGCGATCGAACCCAGCCGAGCCGCATTCCACTACCTCCCAGGTGCTCCTTTCATTTCTCTCATTTTCTCGCTGCTCTCGAGCACACCATACCGAGGTCTGGCTAACACACGTAATTCCATTGCGCCCTCCTCCGGGCGAAGACAAGCGGACAAATGTAATGCAGTTGTACAACATGTAATGGGCGCTCAGGTGACGCTGCCATTACGTTCCAATACAAAAAAAATAAACGGATAGGGAACAATAAACGAAAACAAAAAAATCCAAAAAATGTAATGTTGAAAAACAATGAGCCAGAGTAAGTGCGAGACGCGGAGCGAAGAGTAATACAACATTTGTGTGGGTGCTACTAACCCTTTCAATCGCACGGATGAATGCTAACCTTTTTTTTCATTTTTCTTCACGCCTTGACTTTGGAGGCGGCAGTGAAGACCGCTTACAACGTCTGCACCCCACAAATAACCGGAAGGCGGCATTGTGGCTGCATAAGAAAAGAATCAAAACAACTTCGCGTAAAAAAGCGTGGGGTAGTTGTGGGGGGAGAGAAACAGAACATAAAATTGCGCGAGCTGCGGCAGAGACACAGTCCAAATATCGATTACACCTTCGAAAACAGCACGCACCACAAGGCCGTTGTTGGGGCATCACCTTCGTTCCTCCTCCTCCTGCTGCTGCTGGCCAGCCTCTTTTCCCGGTTTAGTGACACGGCCGTCGATGTCAATCGTATCGCAGATGCGGGCAGCGGGAATCAGGAGGAACACCAGCGGGATGTTGATGAGCGGGCAGATAAAATGTCCCACCAGCAGCAGCCACTTGACATTGCTGAAGTCGCAGCCCTTTGCGATGTCCGACTCCACGGGCCACTTGAGCTCCATCAGCAGTGAGCCGATGGTGTTCGACACAACCTGCCCGAAGTTCGAAAACCCGGCGAGGAGCGCGTACACCATGCTCTCCGACCCGCGCGGGCACAGCCGAGACAGCAGCATGATGGTCGGCATGAAGTTCAGCATGTAGCATACCTGGTAGACGATCTGATCGCCAAGCACAAACATGACGTGGTCGCTCACATGCGGTCGGTTCCACCGCTGCACAATGATGAGGTCGAATATGCTCGCCACGATCTGCACACTTGTGGTGATGATGAA